GACGCGATGGTGGTGGCGCAACCTTCCGTTGTGGGCATGGACATCGTGCTGCCCGCCAAGTCATTCAACGCCGTGGTGCCCGACATAGACCGCAGCCTCATGTTGCCGCTGCTGCAGGCGCGTGGCAAGCTCAAGCTGGTGGTGGCACAGACGCTGGACGACGACCTGCAGCCGCGTGCCATCTTCCCGGGTTTTGTGGCGCTTATCGGCGCGCAGCAACTGGCTTCTGCGGTGGTGTGTTTTGATGAAGACTCGGTGGTGCGCCGCGTGATGTCTGCGCAATGCGGGGGCACTGGCAATCACATCGGTCTGGCTGAAAAAATGGCCTCCGAACTCGGCGTGCCGGCGCGGGGCCAGGGCCTGATCGACTACCGCACCGGCGACGCCTTCACCACCGTGTCGATGGCGCAGGTGCTGCAGTGGCAGACCGAGGGCAATGTGCAAAAGCTGCGCGCGACCTTCGGCGGCAAACCCGTACTCGTAGGCGTCGTGCTGCCGCTCGAAGACCGGCTGCGCGTGCCGGTTGCGCTGTATGCGGCAGAGTCAGGCAACACACGCGTGCCGGGTGTGATGCTGCACGCGCAAATATTGCGCTCTGCGCTTAACAACGGCTACATACAGGTGGTGCCGCGCTGGGTGGTATCGGCGCTGACCGCGCTGGTCTGCCTGTGCTGGTTTGGCTATGGTTTCAAAAAGAACCTGGCCTACTGGACCTTGTTTGCCATGCTGCCCGCCATTGGCCTTTATGCACTGTGGCTGGGCTATGCGCTCTCGCCTGCCGCCCTGCTGCTGTCGGCCAAGCTGGCCTACATGGCACGCCAGGGGCTTGAGTCCATGCGCCTGGCGCACCAGCGCGCGCGCATCACCCACGCCTTTGCAGGCCACGTCAACCCGCGCCTGCTCAAACGGGTGCTGGCATCAGACCTCAGTGGCGGCGTGGGCGAACTGGCGCCGCAGCGCCAGCAGGCCACGGTGATGTGGGTGCAGATTCCCGAACAGCATGCGGCCTTCGCGAACGCACATGCAGACACTGCCCTGCGCGCACTCTCGCATTACT